AAAAAAAAACCTGGGTAGCAGTAATTCGTCGCCACGCTGTACATATGTACATTAGAGTGATCCAAAAATGCATGTGAAAAAGTAAAGCCGGCATTTTAATGCCGCCACCCCTAAGATTGTTCTATACAGAAAAAATATACCCCTTTTTTTATTTGGAAAAACAAAAAATTTAGTGAAAAAACAACTTATCGTAGAAATAGTGTAGAATTCTTAAAAGTTGATATTTTTCGTTCGGAAAATCTGTTTCTCTTTACGAGATTCCCAACAATACCCAATTGTTTCTTTAACAAATTTTTCCATGGTAACTACATTTTACAAGTCCGCCAAAACGCCCAGAAAATGCAATGGGGGGACCAATAAAAAATCTTTAGTGTTAAAAAAAATGGTTAAATAAACATTTGGATATTAATATTGGAAATATCCTGAAGAGAACCAAAGTTCTCCGATCGAAAAATATTTATTTTGAAGAATTTTATACCATTTCTACGAAAAGTTCAGTTTTCTTCCTTATAAAATACATGGAAAGCTTTGAGCACTCCCTAAATATTTTTTGATTTCAATATAAAAAATTTTTTTTTTTTTTCGGTATACAATCCTAGGGGGGCGGAATTACTGTTTTTGGACCACTCTAATGTATGTACATATGTATGTATGTATGTACGTGTTGAAATCAAGAGAAAACTGCGCCCTAACCTCAGAGTTCTTAAAGATTTAAGACGGTCTCAACAATTTGAACCAGTTAAATAACGTCTTTTTGGCCAACCAGCAGTGGCTTGTGCAGAGGTTTTAATACGCAGGTGTAGCTGTGGGGCTGGCTGCAAGTCGTGCAAGCTACTATGCGAGTATATTAATACATACTCAAGAGAGTTCCCCCCTCACGGGCGTCATCACAGGAAAATCCCCCTTATTTGTATTGTAATTTATATTATATATCTATGTATGTATGTATCTGTTTTAATTTTAAATTTAAGTGGAAACATTTTTGAAAGCTGTATTTGCACAGCATTTCTAACTGGCACGAATGTCCTAAAGTGGTCAACCACTTCAGTTTAACGACTATCACAACTTGATTGTGCTATACTCCAGTTGACTTTAAAAAGCCTCGATCCGCTGACCAATGTATCAGTTCATTTGCTTTAGCAATCAGTGAATACTCGTATTCTAGAACATGAAAACCGCATTTGTATTGCTTTGCAGCTTCTTGCTGTTCCATGCCACAACGGCTCATCCTTTTGGCGACTCTGTCGAGGTCAGCGATGGTATTCCCAACGATCCAGTGCCGGTGGGAAAACCAGAAAATTCTGAAGAGGCTAGCAAGGATGTCACCATCGATGCAAGCATCCAATCTAGCGCTCACATTGAAGTTCCCGAAGCGGTGGCCGAGGCGTTGATTAAGGCTATGATTGAAGCCTTCCAGAACACAAAGATTTCTGGAGAAGCTGCTGTTCAAACTGAAGTTTTCATACCCGGAGAGAAACCTATTAAGGAAGAGAGTGAACTGCAAAGCCGCAGCATGATTGGTACATGTCTCATATCGCAAGCTCTCTGTAGCAAACATTGCGTTTCTTTGGGATATCGCAGAGGATTCTGCAATTCAGGCTTAACCTGCGTATGCCGTAATTAATGATCGAAAATCGCCTAAATTATAT